TTCATTTATTTAATATTGTTTATTATTATATTATTAAAGTGGATAAATGCCTTTATTGCTACTAAGTCTAGTTTGATTTTAATTTAAGTCTCTTCTGTTAATTGTGTTGCTGACTAAATTGGCTGCAAGCTGCAAAAGCAAAAGCATTTGTCTTCAAGGACTGGGAGTTTGAAGAAAACCAATCAAAACCTAATGTTAAATGTAATTTCTATTCATATTTTGAAAATAATTTATTATGATTTACCAAACTTCAACAAAGATTTTCATTTTTTGCTGCGCTTGAATGCACGCAACAGTTTTTGTGCTTCTTTGGAATGCTGAATAGCTTGAGAGCTTTTATTATAGACAGCAGCCTAAAAGCATGCAACATTTTTAAATTAACTTTTTGCAAACTTTTCATATGTTTTTATCAAAACCTATAGTATATATTGGTAATTGGTAAATATAGTGAAAAATCTATATTAATGTAATTGACTCAAACTTAAAAGCAAAACTTTCTTTAAGTTTAATTGAAACTTGTCATTCGTAAGTGCAGTAAAATTGTCAATATTTAAATGTCTTCGATGGGCAAGGCACAAATAAACACTAGCCGGTCATGCGTTGTCAATTATGGCCAAATAACTGCTGGCCAATTGTTTGCAATTCATGCGTTGACCGCAACACCTGCCTCTGTCAACTGCGTCTGGCTATGCACTTCACTCCATTTGCTGTGCTTCAACAGGCAAAGCAATATGCTATGTATACACACATATGTATGTTGGCATGTGTGTGTGCTAGTGTATTACATAACACTTTGTTGAGGGTAATTAAACATTTAACAGTATATGTCTAGCATAGTTCAACTGCATTATGGCTGAGGTGGGCGTCAAAGGTTTTACTGTCTGACTGTTGGTTCAAGTAATTAGCTGGTTATGCAAATTTCTCTACGTGAGTGTGTGCGTGTGTATGCCTTGAGCAGCAGTGCGTAGCACAGCAAGCTTCACCGTACTGTAAAGCAATTTTTCAATTGAATATACATACATATCTGTATAGATGCGTATGCCAGGGAAACGCGTTCAATGAACTTGAAAAATGAGGGAAAGATCAAACTTAACAATAATAATATGTCAAATAAACGAATATGTTGACTAAAATCAAAAAAATACAAAACAGAAACAATGTATGTAATATGGTATGTACATTTATATTGCTATTTTAAAATCTCTAAAAAAAAAATAAATATAAAAAATTTAAAAAGTAATAAATTACTTTTCCCCTTTTACTCAAATCAAGTGCCGTCTATAGATAAACGTTCAGTTGAACTATTTTTAATTTTCCATAAATTTTGAAAAACATATTATTTATATAAATTATTATTGCATTGACAAACATATTATTTTTACATTTATTTCGACATTAAGCATTAAGCTCATATTTCAATTCAGCCAAAAAAAACTTTCATTGAAAAACGTTTTATTCGGTTACCAATTGATCAGTGTCTTATCTAAACGTGAATGATTCATTATTGTACATTTAATTGGGCCAACATATCTTTTTATTTTCCAATTAAATAACTCAAGCTTGAAAATGCGGTCAAAATGACCGTCGACCGTCAGCGCAGGACAGGGCCAAAAGAGGCCTTTCACAGCTGAAAGACAAATATAAATGTATATAATATACCTATGTGTATTTTTAATATAAAACACACATTTACTATATGTAGTCGCATTTACAAGTGCCACGCCCCAACATGCTTTGTCGGAATCGCAAGTGCGCCAATTTTTTGAGGCAAGAGCCGGTCTCTGATCTCTCTCACGAAGCCGAAACTGAAATTGAAACTGAGCTCGAGGCATATAAATAAGAGTAATGAGTGTGCACGACTGCAAAATACCCTGTGTGTAGCGTTGGCAGAAAGAGACTTCTCTCTGATCTTAGGTTTGTGATATTTGTTCTGTTCTGGTATATCTGACCACTGATCTTGATTTCTGATATCTAATGTCTGATCCCTTATATCTCTCTCTGATCTCTGATTTCTGATTACTGATCTCTGAGCTCGGAGCTCTAAGCTCTCAGCTCTGATTTCTGATTTCTAATTAGTGATCTCTGATCTCTGATCTCTGATCTCTGTTATCGGATTTCTGATCACAGACCTCACTGTTCTCTAATATCTGATTACTGATCTCTAATATCTGATTTCTGATCTCTTCTTTGCGATCTAGGATCTCTGGTCACTCATTTGAAATATCTTTCTTCAATCGTTTCTCTCAAGTCAACGATCTCTAATCACTCTTACCATTTGAATCGTACACTATACGAAAACAATCTACCCGCTCTCTCTCTCCTCATCATTTGCTCACCGAATACAGGGTATAGACATGTTACGTGATGTTTTGCGAGCATTGAGAGATTGAGTTCGAGCTGGAGCTGGAGCTCAGCTTCAACTTTAGTCTCTGTTTCGGCTTTAGCTTTTGGCGCGTGTTGCAAGTGTGAGCCGTTGTCTCTCCACTCTCCATTTCAGTTGAAACGCAGACGTGCTGCGCGCAGGTTGTCCGACAGACAAACCAATCGCATTGCATCCCATCGAAACGAATTGAATACAGAAACGAAAACAAATAAAAATAGAGAAATGTACGAAACATAACGGTAAAGCCGAATCCGGCATTAAGAGGCCCATTTGCATGGGCCTAGTGTAAACGACAATATATACTTATCATTTTGGCAAATCCAAATCGGAATTGAAATCGAAATTGAAATGGGAAACCAATTGAATGAAACAAAACAACAACAAAATTTGAGAAACGTGCGCGCTTTCATTTTTACCAAAAAATAAGTTTTATTTGCTCTCTTAATTAGCAACAATTTTGAAATAAGTGTAAATCATATTTACAGCCATAAGCATAACAAATAATAATTATGTAGCCAAGTGTAATGTGTAAATGCATTTCAGTTTTATATGCATATCAAATATCAAAGCATAGAATTACAAAATTCCAAAATAAATGCAAACACAAAACAAAGAAAAGATAACAAAATAGAAAAACAGAAAACTAAAACAAAACGACGTTTAAAACAAGGACGCATAAAATGGTTAAAATTATCAAATATAATCACGACCCTTTGATACAAAAAATTCGACTTTGGCAAGGCAACCTTGCAGTACTCTATAAAAACATAGTTCATATATGGAACATATATACAAAATATATATAAATTGAATGATCGAAAGCAAACTTCAAATGAATATTTTGAGTAGAAATACCTACATTTAAATACTAATAATAAAAATGAGTAAAATTTAAATTTTCAGTTTCATAAAGGATTACAATAACTATTTAAATAATTTGAGCTATTTATGGATATGTCTCGAGCTATTAAAAGACACACTGATATCAGAACAAATACTCATGCATTTCTGATAGAGGATGGCTGTAGCAATCTCAGATCTCGGATTACGGTTCTATAATATCTATTCTTCCAAATGGGAATCTTCTATCCCTGATCGCTAATATCTGATCTCTATCTATATAGGAATCTCAAATATGATATATACTAAATAAAGTGTATAGAATTTAAAGTTCGGTTATAAACAACGTTACCAACCACTGCCCCAATTACCAAAGCTCTTCCTCCGTGCTAGAGTATCTCTCGTCTCGGGCAAAACCTTAACAAAAAAAGACAACAACAAAAGCGCATTGAACAAAAGTGAGAGTGATTTCCAAACAGTTGCTGTGTGTGTTTTTTACTTCTTCTTCTTCTTCTGTTCATTCGTTTTTTTTGTTGACGCTTTTTATTGACGGCGAAAAAAAAAACATTCGCAGCCCAAGACATAGTTGAAATACTTTTCTCGTATGACGCATTCGAACAGACTTAAAAACCAAAAAAGAAAAGAAACGATTTTTTGCCAAATGTTGTAATCCGTTTCTGTTTCTGTATCTGTGTGTGTGCGTGTGTATTGGTGTTTGTGTTTGTATTATTGTTGTATTTTTGCAGTTTCTGAACGTTTTTGACGCACCGCGTTTCTTCTACTTGGCTAAATGCAAGCCACAAATTGTTCGACTTTTGATCATGTTTTGGCCAAAACAACTGCCGCTCACTGTTAGCCAACAGCTGCTGCTGTTTCTACTACTACTTGGTCTGCTGCAATGTAAGTACACTGACAACAATTTCAAGGTAACTTCTAGTTGTAAAAAAAATTAATTTTTGAAAGACATTTTTAAAGTTTCTAAATGATGTATAAATCTTTTACGAATTATTTACGTATTTTTTTTTTGTTTTTTGTTTTTTATTTTTTATTTTTTTTTTTTTTTTTTTTTTTTGTTTTTTGTTTTTTATTTTTTTTTTTTTATTTTTTTTTTTTTTTTTTTTTTTTTTTTTTTTTTTTTTTTTTTTTTTTTTTTTTTTTTTTTTTTTTTTCATCCTTTATATAATATACAAATTGTGACAAAAAGTTGATAGAAATTTTTAAAAAGTTAAAAAGTTTTCATTTATAAGGGATAAAGAAAATGTTAAAGAAACTTTTGATGCTTTAGTAAAATCTTTTAGAAATGAAAATCTAATAATGAGAAAGCAAATTTCATAGTTGCTTGACATTTTTTTAATTTTATAAATTGCTTAAGATAGTTTAGGAAAATTATAATTCCTAATTAATCAACATAAACAAAGTTTGTAATCGCTTCAATCAGATATACATACAAAACGCTCTCGAAAATCCTAAGGATATTGATTATTTGATCAAATATTTCACATTTTGCAGGACACCTGCAATCAGTGCTATGATAATTTTTTGCAGTGCACCCAAAATAAAGCAATAGCAAAATTGAATTTCAGCCGCCGCAACAACCGGTTTGACTGCCCAAACGTAGCCAAACGCAGCCAAAACTCTAGACTTTGCTCTGGACCGCTTCGATTCGATCCAATGCGACGACCTAGCCAGACTAGACCAGACCAGGCCAGGCCATAGCCGAGCCGAGTAGTGCGAGCCAAAGACCGGGCCACCAAAGCAAAGTTGTTTAGTCTAAAGCTGAAGTCGCAGCTGAAGTTGAAGCTGTTGCCGGTCTTTGTGTCAAGGTCGCGCGTCTCTTGTGTTCATTTTGCTTTCAGTCGCTCGACGAACTACTTGAATCTATTAAGTTGAATTCATTATTTCCCTGCTTTATAGTTGCTGCGGGCCATTAAAGCATCTGATACTTGAGAATAGATCAAAGTACGTTCATTAATTAAGTGCGAGCTTCTGGGTGCAAAGCTATCAGAAGTGAGAGAGGTCAGTTCGCTAGAAGAATTAAACGAGCAATCGTTGACCCTGGCAGCAGCACTAACTTTATAAATTGGAATATGTGCTTAACTTTAAACGCGATTAAGAAACTTGAATTTTAGATTAAAGAGTAGTTGGGTTGTTGCAAACATAATTATGGAGACATCAGCATAGGTATTTATAGCAATATAATATAGCAAAAATGCAATGTACAAATGCCGACAGGTAGATACATCTTAACGATCTGAAGGCTTATAAAAGTAAAACTTTTTTTACATAAAAAAAAAATTAAATTGCCCATTTTGATATATACGATATATCGAGTTTTTAGTACTCTTGATTGTTGAATTTTAAAGCAGGGCAAAAAAAATCAGACCTATACCTATTTTCATATGCATCGCTCATAGAGTTTGTGACCTTCGTTAGCATAAACTCAATAGAGCTTCAATAGCTTCAATAGCGAGCTGCCAATTTTAATTGTTGTATAACTGCTTAGCCTCAAAGACAAACCAGCTTACCAGCCCTAAAACAAAAACTCAGCCCATAAAAACGTTATATTGCGTAATACAAAAAAAAAGAGCAAACTACAAAGCAGATTGAAAGATGTCCGTTAGAGATTAAATATAAAGCCAAGCATCGACTAATTGGAAATACAATTAGATAAAAAGATGGAATATAACGTACATTGCATAGAAATATATATGTGGTCCAAATTGGAACTCAAAAGTTTTGAAAGATAGTCAAATTAGTTATATTCAGAGTAGCTATGTTATAACATATAAACGCATACAAATTTTCATAAAAATATCTTCATATATAAATGATTATTTAACTTGACCAAATTAGTTATTTTGTTATCATAAATTTACTTAAAATTTATAATAATAAGGCTGAGCAAATATGAAGAGAAATGTATACTTCTACATATATTACATATATTTATAGATATACATATAAACTAGTTTAATTAATTATTATTGCAGCTGAAAATGTGAATGGCTTCATCGTGCCACAAGAGCTGCAGTCGGCGCTCTCGTTAGTCTATTCCAATATACCGCCCATTAAAAAAGGTGAGTAAAGTGATTAATAATATATTTCTAACTAAGCTCTCTGTATCTCTCTCTCTCTCTCGCTCTTTGTACAGGCACCGATTCACGTCTTGGCTTTGGCTTTCGCCTCGGTCAGCATGCGGATTTCCAGGTGCTGCTCGAGCTGGGGCCACAGAAGAACACGCGTCCCTTGGGTGACCCCAACAAGAACGATCAGTCGTTCAGCAAGCGTCAGGTGAGCCCCAGCGATGAACGGGAACACCTCCGGCAGCAGCAGCTGATGACCAGCACGGAGCGCAATGCAGCTAGCTGGCTAGAGAGTTGGTCGAATGACATGAAGCCTCAGCCGCAGGAGAAGCTGCACTCAAAATCGAAGGCGAAGACCAGTCAGAAGCAGGCACTGCCCACTCGCGCACCTTTGCCAGCTGATGCAGTGCAGCAGCTGCAGCAGCTCTACAAAATGGCCACCGAAGCAACGCTCAGCTCATCTTCCACTACAGTGGAGCCTCCAGCAAACGGACAGTTGAAAAAGGCTCCAAGTGGATTCAAATTGCCACCGCCTGCACTCGAACAGGACACCAACTCCTTGGGCAACAGCAACAGGCCCACAAAGAGCAGAGAGGAAGTCACCAAGGAGCTCATGAATGTCAGTGTCGAGGATTAGCTTGTACAATAGATATATAAATAATGGGTTTATATATGTTTTAAGTATATGTAAATATGTGCATATTTGGTTTAGCAAGCGATTTCTTTTGTAAATAAATCCAAATAAAGTATTCTAAATCAATAAAACTGCCGTATAAGTAGCATATTCAATAATGAAAGTGGTAAATGAAGCGTTAACACTTAAAATTCAAACTTAAATTTCAGTTACAGATGTTCAATGTTAACGTTGACTTCGAAAATCATTTTGAAGCTTAACTGTTATTTCTGCTGTGTTAACAGTCGGGCTTAACAGAGCAATGCCAGTATATCAATAGAAAAACTTATATACATATGTTACCGACTCAATCTAAGGAATCTGAAACAACAATGCGTCAACTGCCGCTTTATACTTCCGCTTTTTATTTCCATCTCATATACCGTTCCCCTTTTCTTTTTCATTCAGTGGCTATGGCTTGCAAACGGTCTCTCAGCTCAGCTCGTTGCTTATGTCGTGTGAGAGCCCCTTAACATAAAGTGTGCTGAGCAGCAGAATTTACAAGTTTAATGCTTCGGCTTTGCATGCGGTTGAGCGAGATGACTTTAACAGTGGACATTTCAATGCTCCTTTAATGATAATTTTCAGTCTTCTTTTCCTTTAACATGATCACTGTTTGATACTAACAGCAAAGCTGTCAGCTAAACCAACATAATAAAATATCGTGTGTGGGGCCCTTAACAGTGCAGTGCTGTTAGCAGAGCTTGTGAGTAGAAACCGTTATCAGACGGATGAACAACAAGGCGCCAAACGTACCGACTGCATTTTCCAGTGCAAAGAAGATCGTTGCAGTCGTCGAGCGTTTGTTTATTTTGTGCGCAAAAAAGAAAAAAAACATATAGATTAATCTACATGTTAAAAGGGTGTGCGTAAAATCTGATGTGATTCACATACACATAAATATATGTCTGTGTATATATGTATTTGTATATAAATGTATTTCTGTTTGTGAACTAAGTGTAAAAATTATTTGAACAAAATGTTGGATGCGGCAGCTGTGTTTTTCACAATAACAATTCCCACGGCCAGCGAGGAGCAGCGCTTGAAGGATGCCTACAGGCGGAAGATGAATCTGAAGGCGACAGATGAGAATGGATCCATGGGTCTCATACGGAATAGCACGGGCATGGAGACTGGAATTGATACCGGAACGAGCACGCTAATGAGCATGTCATTGTCGGCCTTTGACGAGCAGAGCCTCCGCCTGTTTGAGTCACCTGACGGGCGTGTGGGCGTGGCCGGGGCCGGGGCCGGTGCAGCTGGCGGGGGTGAGCCAACATTCAATTGCAGACGTCGCTTGCCAACACAGCTGACAGATGTGTCGGAGCGTGCCGAGTTGCTGGACTTACCTTTGGATTCAGCCATGGAGCACGTGCTGCAGCAGCTATTGCGTAAGTTTGAAATAACAAATGCGCTCTGGGTGCGTAGCCTAGATGGTGCCAGCTACCAGATCACCTTCACCCTGGAATTTAACGAAATCTACGAGAATCTCTACGATGCACTGCAGCACTGGGGCATCGGCGAACGTGAGGGTTCCGCCGTGTCCGTCATGAATTGCATCGCCTCGAAAACCTATCAAAACAATCCCAAACAATCCGACAAGCAGCCGGCGGCGCACAGCGAGTGAGTACAGTAGAGCCAGCAGCTACAGTAGAAACCCGCCAATGGGCAGCTCTTCCTTTCTTTTTTTGCAGTGGCAACAACATTCATAACGCCCACAAACAGGGCACCTGGAATCGTTTCATGAACTCTGTGCGCTCCAGACTGAACGTCGCCCAAGTTGTTAGAGATGTCCGCCTGGACGCGGCCATCACATTTGACTTTTGCATACTTCTTGTCTCAGCAGCGTAAGTGGGACAGAGAAGGGAAAGCGGGTGCTGTAGATCCCGGATTTATTATTTTATTAAGTGCATCTTGTGCCCAAAAATTAGTTAGACAATCAGCATGTGCTCTAAAGTGAAAATTGAATCATTTCACTTTGCAGCCTTTTAAACAGACCGGAATTCGCTTGCCTAATTCTCCCAAGAATTTCACTTCTACCTGCTTCTTTTCAATTTCTTGCATTATATCATGAAATAGAAACTTTTGGTTGTAGTAGAAACTCCATTATTAGTCCGATTAATTTTAGCTTTTTGTCAAAGAGTCCACAGCGCATTTAGGTCTAAATTTTAACTAATTTGTGGACCACTCTAGACTTATAATTCTCCGCTATTCTAAGGTATTCCGAATTTAGTTGACTCTACATTAATCCATGCGCCAAGTTGGTGTTGTGCTTAAGATATATGTATATGAATATATGATATGAGTAACTTATTACTAAACTAATCGGCTCAAGTTTTTACCATATAGTTTAGGTTTATATGTTCTATACAACGGATCTCATATTAGTTGCCCGACTCTTTTGCTTACTCTACATTCCATTGAATCTGTTTGACCTTTTCTAAGAAATCCTGAATTTTAGTTCCTTTTGCTCAACCAGCAATTAATTACTTAAGGGCCGAATCCGCTGAAGCTTTTACGTACTCTAAATTAAAAAATACTTTTTGCATTAATCTCTAATCTCCTCTTTCTATTTCTGCCTTCCATACTGCAGCATCTTGGCATCTTTTGGACTAATTGAGAACAGCACCATATTTCTGGCCTCCAGCATGCTGATCTCCCCATTGATGGGACCCATTATTGCGGCCATTTTCGGCACGGTGATCGAGGAGCGATCTCTGTGGCGATTGGGCATGCGCAACGAGTTAATTGGCATACTGCTGGCCACCTTGGTGGGCTTTCTCTTTGGCCTTGTGGTCTGCACCACGGACAAGAAGTATGGCATTGGCGAGGGACTGACGGAGGAGATGCTCTCCCGCTGTGATCTGCACTCACTGGTCGTGGGCCTCTTCACGGCCATACCGTCGGGAGCAGCAGCTGCCATTGGCATACTGGGCGGCAATATTGGTTCGCTGGTGGGCGTGGCCATCTCTGCCTCGCTGCTGCCGCCAGCTGTCAATTCAGGTCTCCTGTGGGCCTTGGCCTGCATTTACAAGCTGTATGAAAAGGACGATACGCTCTATGTAGATGTGGTCAAGTCGCGCACCTACTCCGAGAATCAGGCAACAGAACTGGCTATCCTGGGCACAATTAGCATGTGTTTAACTCTATCCAACATCCTATGCATCTACCTGATGGGCATTCTGGTGCTGAAGGTGAAACAGATTGCTCCAGTGATTGGACGCAGCAATCGTCAGTTCTGGATGCACGACATCAAGGTGCCGAGGGGTGACGCTGCTATTATCGACGAGCTGCTGGCAGATCTCGCTAAAGAGGATACCCATGGCGATATTCTGCGCCATCTGGACGAGGCTGCATACCAGCACACCTGGTCGCCGCGCAGCATACGACATAGCTTCTCCATGCAGCCGGGTGTGGCGACCATTCATCGCCTGGAACAGCTCTACACACAATCCTTGACTAAGCCGCCAGAGAGGAGGCCCCCAACAAATCAACCAACCATTGAGAGGCGCCACACACTGCGCTTGCCGAAAACTGATGAGATTCCAGTGAATGTAGACGACGCCTTCTCTAATAAGCTTCGATTCCTATTCATACTCTTCTCTTATCTTCTCTTTGCAGCGTGCTCGCATCTGCAGCATGCCCTCACACAGAGTCTCACAGCCGGAGAGAATTGATTCCAGCACTCGCATCAATGTGCCAGTTGTTCCACGCTTCACAGTCACGCCCGCCGCAGAGGAGCTGCTAAATCACTAGTTTATACTACATTTAAATATTTAATGTATAATCTTTAACAAAAACTGTTGTTTGGCCAATTAGAAACTATAAATTGATTATGCCTGACGATCCCGTTTGGTCTGACTACGAGAGCGTTTTAGCTGCAGCCGCTCCCTGGCCGCCTTCTCCTGGCGGCGGCGCAGCTTTTCCACAGTTTCCTCACTGGGCGCCGTTGGCTCATCGAGCTCCTGGGCGCGTATTAACGAGCGCAGCTTCTCCAGCGCATCAGCCAGATTCATTTGCTGGGAGCGAGTCAAATCGCTTTTGATGAAATAGTAGCCTTCTTTGTTGAGCTTGTTCGCCAGCGCTTTCAACAGCTTCTCGCGTGTCTTCTCCGGTATCCAGTGCGCCTCCGAGAGCTTAAACCGCACATCGACTTTGGTATTCGAGGTGTTGACGTGCTGGCCACCCGGCCCGGAGCTGCGACTGTAGCTGATCTCCAGCTTATCCATGGGTATATAGCCATTGAATTTGTCGCCACTGCCAGGCTGTAAATATGCAAACATTAGCAACCTTTTCATAGATTTGTAGAGCAAATACAAATATTTACTGGTGGAGGCGGCGGCGTGTAGAGCTGCAGACGGGCATTTGGATAGATTTTATCTAGAGACAAATCACTTTTGTAGGACAACTGGCGACCGAGCAGCGTAGCGCTTCCATATGATTTGTTGCTGTGCTGCAGTACGCTAATAAAGGCACGGGTTATTTTATTCATGTTTTTTATTCCAAATAAAACTAAATGCAGACCGCCTGTTACGACAGATTCAAGCCAGTGTTGCCAACTAGTTGCACTGTCAGAGCTCACGATAAGAGCTAGCTACAAATGGCTAAATAAAAAAGCTAGAAGTCAGTACTGCCAATTAGCCCCCTATTAATAGCGAAAAATCTAAGAATTGGTTTTACCTTTTTAGATTTAGTTTAATACAAAGTTTTTACTTTGTTGAGTTCAATAACTGCTATCATAAATAAATAGGCAATTAATCACCCAGAGCTATTCTCCAATCTGTCGGGAAAATAGCTAAGCCATTTTGAACAGCTGTGCTGCTTGCATTGCCAACCAACCATGCAATACATATGATTTCTGTTTGCATGCTATAAATTTCGTTATCGCTTTGCCGCCACAAGCTATCGCCCGTTGTGCATCGCTATTGTAAAAACGTGTTGACTACGCGTGAAATGGAAGTAGAAGTTCAACAAGAGCCTCCGCCTGCGAATCCTAATGCAAACATAATTACAGAACGCAATGCTAACATCATATCCGGCGGCAATGTCTTCTACAATCCGGTGCAGGAGTTCAATCGTGACCTGAGCATTGCAGTGCTCAACGTTTACTTTCAGCGTTTAGTGAAAGAGCGCGCTGAGAAGGCGAAAAAGCAGCAGCTACGTAAGCAGAAGCAACAGGTAGACGACAATGGGCAGCAGGAGACCACTGTAACGCCCAGCTACACTGCGGGAACAAAGTATGAGGATGGTATGCGGATACTGGAGGCTTTGGCAGCCACGGGACTACGGAGCATCCGCTATGCCCAGGAGATCGCCGGAGTGCGTCAAATCGTGGCCAATGATTTGTCCAAACAGGCGGTGGAATCGATTAAGACAAATGTACAACACAACGGCGTGGAGCATCTCATAGAGACCAGCCATGCGGATGCCATGTAAGATGTCTCAGTCATTTCTCCATATGATTTCTAGATCTAAACCCTTGCAGGACTCTCATGTACTTGTCGACGGCTCCTCAGCAACGCTTCGATGCTGTCGATCTAGATCCGTATGGCTGCCCGAATCGCTTCCTCGACGGCGCTCTACAGTGCATAGTTGACGGCGGCCTGCTTCTGGTCACCGCCACCGACATGGCAGTTCTGGCCGGCAACGCACCCGAATCCTGCTATGTGAAATACGGCTCTGTGCCGTTGCGGATGAAGTGCTGCCACGAGATGGCGCTACGTATCCTGCTGCACTGCATCGAAACGCACGCAAATCGTCATGGCAAATACATTGAACCGCTGCTCAGCATCTCTGCCGACTTCTATGTCCGCATCTTTGTGCGCGTCTACTCCAGCCAGGCTCTATGCAAGTACAGCATGAGCAAGCAATCCTGGCTGTTCCAATGCACTGGCTGTGAGGCATTCACGCTCCAGCCGCTGGGCACAGTGCGCAGCAAATCTGCGGAGCAGCCACAGGTGGTTAAATTTGGCATTCCCACTGGACCCGCCGTGAACAGTCAGTGCGAGCACTGCAGCCATCGGCATCATCTGGGCGGACCGATCTGGTCGGCGCCCATACACAATATGGAATTTGTCGAGGATCTGCTGCAGTCGGTGCAAACGGCGCCGCTCTCTGAATTGGGGACACAGCGTCGTATTGTGGGCGTTCTATCCATGGTCAAGGAGGAGCTGCCCGATGTGCCCCTCTACTACACGCCTGACAAGCTCTGCTGTGTGCTCAAGCTGGAGATAGTGCCCATGCTGAAGATGCGCTCGGCTCTGCTGCATGCCGGCTATCGTGTTTCTTATTCCCATGCCAACAAGAACTCCTTGAAAACAGATGCGCCTGCCTCGGTGCTGTGGGATGTCTTGCGCTGCTGGAGCAAACGGCATCCGGTGCGCGAGGATCGCCTGATACCAGGCACTGCCCTGCAAGCCATACTTTCACAGCCTTGCCAGCGGGACTACGAATTCGACGAACTGCATCCTCTGGCCAATCCAAGCAGTCGCAAACAGGCGCTCTCGCGTTTCCAGGAGAATCCGGCGCCGCACTGGGGACCCGGCACAAGAGCCACGATCATGTAAGATAGAGCCTACACCTTTTCCCTTAAGTATTATTAGTAAACAATCCTATTCTTCTATAGGATTGGCGACAATAAACTGCCCAAGAGCTATCGCAATCAAAACAAAAAGCAACGTCACAAAGCGGCGCAGCAGACGACGAAGAAGGAGAATAAGGATGAGGAGGAAGAGGAGGCGCTGGCGAGGGGCGAGCAGGAGCAGGAGGAGCAAAAGCAATGTCAAGAAGATGAGGAGCAACAGCCGGCAAAGCAGCTAAAATTATCGCCGACTACGTGAAACGCTTTTATGATTCGTTGCTCTGTCAATTTTTATTATATTTTCTTTTGCCAAAAGTTGAAACGCAGAAGTTGAAAACTAGCAAACTTGTGAGCGCCTTTCTCTTTTCTCTGTCTCTGTCTCTGTCTCTCTCTTTCTCTAATAACGGAAGAAATTGCCATCGGAAGTTTGTCGCGAGAATCCATTGTTAACCAGCTGTGTATGGACGCCACTGCATATAAGCTTGACTGACGATGGATGTATCTTTTCCTTGATGCCACCTGCGAAGAGAAGGCGCAAGAAAAACATTTTCAAATGTTAAAATTATATAGATGAAAATAAGGCTCAATACTAGCGCTGGCAATTCTAGAATTGTTCATTTTCTGAATCGCTTGCAAATGACTGGAAGAGTTCATCCACTCATTTTGAGTGACCCGCTCAACCGCGCCTATCCTGAACTGGAACGGCCTTACCTAAGACTAATGGATGGCCCAGAGTATCCTCCATTTTGTGTGCCACAATGCGGGTGTTGCGCAGCACACGAAACACGTTCACTCGTGAAATGGAGCCCACTTCCTTCTGTCCATGTGGAGCTGCCCAGCTGGTCAACGCTGGACACGTATCACGTTGCAGCACCACGTCTATATTCTCCGGGAACGTTTCACGGCCGTGATCGTAACGAGCTTGGAGCTGAAAGTCCAGCGAATCCTTTGGAATATTCGGATTGGCGCGAAAGCGTTTGCTATAGCGCACCGAGCTCATAGTCCGATGATAGTAGAGACGCTCGTGCGGCGAGAGGTGGCTGTGCCACTTGTCGAAGGCATTTGGAGGCGGCGGTGGGCGGGGAAAAGGGCAAATGTAGGTGCCCTCCTTTCGCAGATCCGGCTCGAAGGAGTCGTTCTTCACCATCTTGTCCATAAACATTGTGATATATTTTTTGTAAACCGATTTTTTGCGTTTAGCAGAGATAAAATCCTTTTCTTTTTGGGTTAGAGCGAATTTTTTTTTTTTTTTTTTTTTTTCAAAAATATATTGAATGGAAATTTATTTGGGAATTGAATTCGTTGCCGTGCTGAAAACGTGTTGTCAATAAACACAGCTGTTTTCTACACAGACGCCCTTTCCAACTGCCCGAAACTCTACAAAGATAGCCTGAGGCATGTGTCCTCGCTTGCTTAGATCCAATTGGAATTCGTTTGGTTGTGTTGGAAACGCTTTGTCAATAAGCCCATACATACATATATCCCAYAGACAGCTTGTGTAGAGAAAAATCTCTACATAGGTTGCTTTAAAATGCATTTCTAGATGAATTGCATTTTCATAATTGTAACAGTTTATGTTAAATTTTTCTCCAACGTTAACCAACATACCAATAAAAAAAACAAAAGTGTTTTGTACTGTTAATTCAATTTTTATTTGTAATATATAATTTAAATTTGTATAATTGTCATCTATATGAGTTAATTTGAATTTCGCTGCAATAGAATCCGAAATGTTAGCTACATATGTTAATGCTTTACTTACCAGCTGGATTCCAGGTGAATCAATCAAATGTATGCTCAGTGGTTGGGGAGGGTGGGGCGTCATTTGTTGTCCGAGTCCGCTACAAATTTCGCTAAAGTCAAAAGTAGGCCCCACCAATCGCTAGATAGAGCTGGAAACAGCAGGAAACAACGCCAACAACACCGCCAACAGCAACAAGTGCGAACAAGAAGTGAAGCAGCAAAACGCCAACGGCAAACTAAACAGCGAAACAGTTGAGGGCCGGCGGCAGACAAGGACGCCGGCATCTGCAGCAGCATAACAGCAGCAACAGCACCAATTCGGCAGACGCAGACGCAACGGCAACATTGTGAGTATATGTGTGTGCGCGTGCGTGTGGGTTGTGTATGTGTGGGTGTGTGGGGAAGTTCGAAGTAACAGCAACAGCGGCATCAGCAGCGCAGCGAAGTTTTGCAGATAACAGCAACAGCAACAGTAGCAGCAGCAGCAGCATGAGCAGCACCCGGCAGCAGCGACGCGACGTTTCCCGCTCTCCGCTCTCGTTTTGTGTATGCTGCTCAGTTTATAATGTATATAGAAAGAAATAAACACACGCTGCATTGCTCCGCGCTCTCACTTTCGCTCTCGCTTTACCTCTCTCGCTCGCCGACTGACCGACTCTCTCCCTTGCCCACGCACGACTCGCACGCCAGCCATAACATAACATATACATTAACAGCAACGACTGCAACAAACGCCGCGCACACTTGCCTGCGTATATATAAATGTGTAAAATGGTTGGAAAGCTGTTAATAAATTTTTGTTTATCATAATCGTAAATGGGGGGTGGGGGGTTACAGTTAGAAACGAAAAGTAACGAGCAACACAAAAGATAACTGCAAAAATGTAACGGACAATCGACTAATAGAATGTGTTGTTTCCCGCATTATTTTTTTTATAGATATACATGTTATTTAATTTAGTTTTTTCTTGTTTTTTGTTGTTTTATTCTTTGTAGTGTGTGCTACACAAATCATCAATAATGGCGCCCAAATTATTAAATGCTACATTCATCCCTAGATACCCTAGCAAACACTATTATTAGCTGCTGACCCGTTTGAGCAGACAAATTATATCAAACAGAATATGCAAAAGAAAAACAAACAGAAGGTAACTGAAAAAGAATATAAAACTAAATCTCAAAACCCTATCGAGGCTGAACTATGCTCTGTTTTATATACTCTTATAATCCTTTTTAGTTTGCTCTCTTATGTTGATTTGTTTTGTGATTTGTTCGCTTTCTCAACTTAAAATAGTGTACTATAAATATTCTGTATATATGTATGTAAATCTGTTATCAGTTTGTTTTGTTTTTGTATACCTGCTGTTCTGGTACACAGCATGAGAAGTTCTTACAGCAGCCTAGTTGAGCGGGTTTTCCTGGATATACCGTTGTCCACGAGTCAATTAAGGCTGCAAATCGAATTGAATATCACAAACTATTATATATTTATAATTAATACAGAAATTTATAGATTTGTACTCACCCTTTTCGTACGTAAAAGTATGGAACGTCTGAAGCGAGTCGGCATTTTTAGGAACGACTGCGACTGCGTGAGCCGCTGGCCAGGCCGCCGCTACCGATACCGTTGCGACTGTCGCCGCGCACGGGACTGCGTGAAAATTTGCTGCGACGACCGGGTGAACGACTGCCCGCCGAGCGCGAGCGTGAACGAGGCGAATACGAGGAGCGTCGTCGCGGACTGCGCGAACGACGACGCATCGGCGAACGTGAACGCGAGCGACGACGTCCCCCAGCACCGCCGCCAGCGCCGGCGCCAAGACCAGCGCCACGACGACTGCTGCTGCTGTTGCGGCGCGTCGGTGACGAAGGTCGACCATAGCGTGCCATTTGAACGCGCAGCTCCCTGCCGTCCAGCATACGACCATCCATGGCCTCTAGTGCGTCCTCAGCGTCGCGCTTATCATAGAAGCTAAAGTGAGAAAAAGAGATTAGGATGATATTTACAATCATTTCGACTGGCATGTTTGGTAATTGTTGTTGTTGAGAGTGAGAGCGTAACTCTACACAGGAGTGTAGAGAGAGAGAAGACTAAGTGTGCGATAATTGTTGGAGCGTAGAGCGAGAGGAGTCGGAATGAACGGAAAATAATGAGTTGTAGGGTTACCCTGGCTTGATACGGTAAGTGACTCTTAGTTAATAAATTCTTCTCTATTGCATTTAGTGACTCCAATTGGATTCTTGCATATTCAAACTTAGCTTAATTCAGATATTAAAACGTGTAGTATTCGCAGTATGTTGGCTAGCAGAAGTTTGGGTAGGCAACAGTTGCAATTGAAAACATTTTATCTAGCATCCTTGCTTCGAGCATGATTTATACAAACATGATCATGCGTAAAAAGAGCAATAATGCAGGTTAAATTAATTATTATCAATCAATTCGTGTGTAGTATTCGCAGTATGTTGGCTAGCAGAGATTTGGGTAGGCAACAGTTGCAATTGTACACAGTTCATCTTGCACTTTTGCTTCGAACACGATCAATAAGTAGTTGATCATGTCAATATAGAGCAAAAATGCAGAATATTTATATCAATTGGCTTCTTATAAACAAATCCATGTAGTATTCGCAGTATGTTGGCTAGCAGAGGGTTGGGTAGGCAACAGTTGCAAATGAACACATTTCATCTGGCATTTTGTGCTTAGACTATGTCTAACAGCATATAAACATGTTCAAGTAGAGCACAAATGCAAAGAATTTCAATAAATATATATATCCTATGTATTTACAGCGATTATATGAAAATGTGGCAATTTCCATCCATAAGGTAAGCAATTCGTGTCTAACCTCAACATACAAAATTATGCATTAAAGTACGGCATAAGTGAAAACTCAAATGACTTTCATTATGCACCTGTTCATTTTCACAAATTAATTCGGTTTCCCTATCATTATTTACTTACCGCACAAAGGCAAATCCGCGACTTTCACGTGTGTAGCGATCGCGTGGTATGTAAATGTCGCCAACTTCGCCACAACGTTCGAAGACACGACGTAAATCTTCGGGTGTGGTGCGATATGTGAGATTGTCGACCTGCATCCGAAAATACAATGTAAATTGAATGTCGAATGAGAAAAGATTATCTAACCCACACAGACAGTAAATCAATTGCCGGCCGCCATTTTGTCTGGCTGCATGCCTGCGTTGCTGTACTTTCTATTTGATATTTTGGGTACTTGCCTTTAGCGAGACCATGCCATCGATTCTGGGTGGTGGGCGTGCACCGCCTCCAACACCGCCTCCGGTGCCGCCAGTACTCATTCTTTGCCTTTTTATGCACTGTTTTGAAAATTACAATTTTCTTATGCAAAAATTTACTGCTTTTGCCGCCGCTGTTCAGCTGTGCCTGCTCTGCTTTCCTCTATCGATGGATGAAATATGAATTCTGTTTCGATATTTTTATGTTGACTTAGAGGAAATATCGATATTTAGTTTAAACAAGTTGGCAGCTCTATTATGGCACTTATCGTTTCATGTAACGGCGTCATATATATATATATTTGTTTAATTTAAAAATTTTATAAAACAATTATTGTTCACATAGTTTTGTACATACACCGACAAAAACAGTAAATTCCAGATTTTTGAAATGATAAATATATTTAATTGTCGTCAACGATATTGAAAACTATCGATACTCTCCATCCCTGGCTTTGCAACGCGTGGCGGTGAAACGTGTAAAATTTTGTTACAAATTTTGCAACAATTTCGCCAAATTAACCGCAAAAATAAGTTGTTTTTGTTCGAAGATCAATTGACAGCTGCATATGTGCTGGCACAGGTGTTGAACTGAACTGGAAAAGGTGTCAAAAGCGAGCGAAGAGATTGTTCACACAACACTCTCACACAACCACACGCACGCACGCACATACACGTAGAATTTTGTGTTGTGCTGCCAGACAGTAGTAAAGTGCAGGAGAAAAGCAGAAGTAAAAGCAAAAGCAGCGACGTCTAAGTTGGCTTAGACGTTGAAACGACAAAAGCAAATTAATCACAAATTGAAAGGCAGGGCTGTCTCCTTTACCCCCTTTGTATTGCTTTCATATTCCAACCGTTCTACTGCTCTCGGTGGCAATCGACGACGCAAGTCAAACGCGTTTTTGTGTGAGTGCAGCAAAAGCAGAAGCAGGGCGAAAGTGTGTCGGTGCCGTCGTCGTCGTCGACGTCGCAGTTAGTGTGTGTTATTGTGAGTGCTAAGCAGCACAGCCAGCGCAGAGGCGAAAAGTGAAATTTTCCACTCGAAAAGCGATTTGCTCGAAACCTCAAAAGGCATCAGCAATGGCCGCGCAGGAGAATACGGAAATTTCAACAAAATTCTCAACACTCAATGTGAATGCCGTGGAATTTGTGCCCAGCTTTAATTACAGCAGCGCTGCCAGCGCAGCGGCTGTTGCAGCGGCTGCAGCGCAAGCGCCGCCGACTACACAGCAACAACAACAGCAGCAGCAGACAACGCCAGTGGATAATGCTGTTGCGCCTGGAAGTGAATCAGTGCCGGCATCTGGTAGTGCCACACCTGCAACAACGCCCGATTCCACAGGCAGTGCTGGTTCCACAAATGCACTAAACGCCGGTGGTGGTGGAGGCGGAGTAGGAACGGGTACGGTCGAGGGTACGGGTACGGCAGCACCATCATCGGCGGCCGCCTCAAATTCGGCATCACCAGCGCTAGGCTCGCCCGTTACCACGCCTTCGACAGCGGCAGCAGCACCAATTGAGCATATAAATGTGGCGGACAAAATAACGGCAAACAATGGTAAATATAAAAGAAAAACACACACATATGCCCATATAAACAGATTTAGTTAAAGTGTGAGTGTATGCGTGTGTATGTGCTTATTTGTGTGAGTGAGTGGGCGCCCTGGGGGTAGTTTAGAGCAAATGTCGGGCGCATTGAACCTTTGCATTGTGACGTCACGTGTACCGTCCTTTGTATTTATTAGCAGCCCTACAAACTCTACTTTGCTAACTGTTTTTGTTGTTGATAAGCTCTTATATATGTATGCTTGTATGTACGTATATAAAAACAAAAGCAAAACATAAAAGTGCAAATATGCTTAGGTTATCGGTATATCGCATAACATAACCTCAATTGTTGTTGCGGTAACGAGCGCCCCAGTGTATGAGTGAGTATGTGGGTGTGTGAGTGATTGAGTAAGTGTGGGTATGTGCTAGCAGGTGTGAATGCGTGTCTATTGTGCTCTTGTTAATGGTATTTTTTGCAAAATATGAATTGCACTTTGCGTGCTGCTTAATGCTGCTAACCCATTCACACACGCCTGCAACACAACGCATCTATGAGATGCAGCAGCTGTTCATGTTGTGAACTGCCATTTATCGTGTTCGTTCTAGTGGTGCGCAAAATTTATTTGCAGGCACGAATGCAGTAATTTAGTGTTTCATAATTATTGTTGATAGGCTTTATCTAATATCTAATATTGTTAGTTAATTAAAATTGCGCCGCCCTTCAATTAATTAATTACAAATTTTTTATAATAATTTTTCTTAGCTCAAGAGAAAGTAAAATAAAATATTCAGTGTTTCATATATTTATAACTCTGACTTGAATAGGTTCCTGCAAGGTTTTTTTGTTTAGTTATTTTCATTTTTTTATATGATTTAATCTGTATTATTTATTATATTATATTTCATCTTGTGTTCTTTATTTTTCGATTTTACTAAGTATTTTTACTTTTAAATAAGTTATGTTGTTTTGCTATAAAAGTCTGTAACCGTTCTGTTGCGCATCTCTGCTGCAGCATTTTCTGTGTTTTGACACGTTTACGTTTTTCGTTTGTCTTTATTGTCGCCTGCTGCTTTCGTATCGGCATTCGCTCGTTGATGAGCGATTCAAATTGGTTCTGGTTGGATTTGCAAGTGGCGAATGTGTGCTCACTCGTCACATGGCTCCAGCATGTTGCTTGATGCAGCCCTGGTTTGGGACCATTGTGTCGTTGCTAAGCACAACAGGCTTGTATGTTGTTGTTATCGTTGTAAGCAGCTGCGCGCGCTGTTAGCCGAAATTACAGTTGGCGTTGGTTGTTGTTGGTGTGTGCGTGCCACTCGCTTTGCACCTTGCTTGCGGTTTGAACCGCTTTCAACTTGATTATGAATTTTAGTCGGCTGCTTGCAGCAGCGCCAGCACCAGCAACAGCGTCGATCCAACTGAGCGAGCGAACGCCCCAGCTCGTAATGAATTTTGTTGTGTGCTTGGCATTCGCTTTGCTTTTAGCTACTTTTACATTTCCGCGCTGAACGGTCGGTCGTGTCAACGTGTGCGCATGTTCGTTTGTTGATTCCGTTCGAATTTGATTTATTTTAATTTATATTTTTGTTATTAATTTGATTTTGCTAAAATGTTGCGAAAAGGCAACGGCGCCACTCAACACATGAAGAAAAGTTAGTAACGGTTAATGGGGCTGCGCGCGCATTGGCGTCTCTAAACAAGGCCATAACCTAGGGCTACCAGATTTCACCAGTTTCAACTGAAAGCGTCTAGTTGTGTCTCAAAAAAAAAAAAAAAACTCATTCTGTTTGCTTGTGACCTGCCACACTCTTCCTTCTTGGCGGCCCCAGAAGTTGTAGCCTGCAATAGAAATTGAGCGCGTGGCGTATTTGTCAATCGTGACACGAACGCAAATTGAAACATACAATCAATATATTGTTTAATATATTGTGAAATCGCCAAACCTGAACAAGTATTCTCCTTTCAATATACGCACGTTAATGCACGTTTAAGCAAGCACTACAACCAAATATTATGACTCATGCTTTCAAACGAGGGTGTTAACAATGCATGCCCGCCATATCTTGTCAATTTCACAACAACAACAACAGCACAAAGCCAAAGATAACAATAAACTAGGGCTGCAGGAAATACGAAAATATGAATATGTTCTGTATCTTGTCTGTGTGTATGCCACTTTTGCTCCAATTTATAAAGGTGTAATTTCAATATGCGAAATCCCACATTTATTTAATGTTCTTAAAACAGGATAATTAATCGAATATTTATATGCAGACGGAAACTTGTTAAACTAGAAAGACACTCTTGGATGTTAACCTTTTATTATTTTTTTGAATATTTGACAAACCCATTAAGTAAATATTGCTCCTAATTGTTTATACTTTTATTAAAACTAGATCTTTCAGTTATCTGCTCACTTATCTTGCATATTGAATCACTTGCACATAAAAATATCTACATTTATTGTACATTTGTACATATTGATTGTTATAATAATATTCTATATGCATTACAGAAACGGATCCCGCTGATAGCTGGGATGTGGAAGATGATCCTATCATTACGCCTGACGAGGAGGAAATCGATGATGTTGAATTCGTTGAGGGTGAAGCCACGCCGAAGGTCTCAAAGAAAAAGATAATCAAAGTGGAGGAGAACAGAAGCAAACGCGAGCATGTGAATGTGGTTTTCATTGGTCATGTTGGTAGGTCCCGAATTAGCCAAAAATTATGGAATTATTATAACAATCTTTACTTGCTTTTCAGATGCTGGGAAATCAACTATTGGCGGCCAGATCATGTCGCTGACGGGCATGGTGGACAAGCGCACATTGGAGAAATATGAACGAGAGGCGCGAGAGAAATCGCGCGAGAGTTGGTATTTGTCTTGGGCGTTGGACACAAATCAGGAGGAGCGCGACAAGGGCAAGACCGTGGAAGTGGGTCGGGCCTTTTTCGAAACAGATCGCAAGCATTTTACCATCTTGGATGCACCTGGTCACAAGAGTTTTGTCCCAAACATGATTGGTGGAGCGGCGCAGGCGGATTTGGCTGTGCTCGTTATTTCCGCGCGAAAAGGTGAATTTGAGACGGGCTTCGATCGTGGTGGACAGACGAGAGAGCATGCCATGTTGGCCAAAACGGCTGGCGTTAAGCATTTGGTTGTGCTCGTGAATAAGATGGATGACCCAACCGTTAATTGGGATCAGGGACGCTACAACGAATGCAAAGACAAGATACTACCATACCTCAAGAAGCTCGGCTTCAATCCAGCCAAGGATTTAACCTTTATGCCTTGTTCCGGACTCAGCGGCTATGGCCTCAAGGATCAAATACCAGAAACATTGTGCCCCTGGTATAGGGGGCCTGCCTTCATACCCTTTATCGATGAGTTGCCCTCGCTAAACCGCAATCAGGATGGCCCCTTCATTATGCCCATTGTAGATAAATATAAGGATATGGGCACCGTTGTCATGGGCAAAGTTGAATCCGGCTGCGCGCGCAAGGGTCAAAATTTGCTAGTTATGCCCAATAGGGTAAGGAATAGATGGAAATAATTGAAGATCCTTTACTAACTGTATATGTATTACAGACGCAAGTGGCTGTTGATCAACTGTTTTCAGATGACTATGAGGTGACCTCTGTAGGGCCCGGCGAGAATGTCAAAATCAAGCTGAAAGTAGGTTTACCCATTACTAAATTAGTGCTCTAATCAAAACTAATCAAACTACTTCCAACTCTTGTAGGGCATCGAGGAAGAAGATGTTTCGCCTGGTTTTGTGCTCTGTGATGCCGCCAACCCAATTAAGACAGGCAAAATCTTCGATGCTCAGGTCGTTATATTGGAACACAAATCAATTATCTGTGCGGGCTATTCAGCTGTCATGCACATACACTGCGCTGCCGAGGAAGTTACGGTCAAGGTGCGATCTCGTTCCACATTTTATATATTATATTCTTTTAGTTCCTATAGTAATATATCTCTAATATTTTATCTCTATCTCGGTTATAGGCACTCATCTGTTTGGTAGACAAAAAGACTGGTGAGAAATCAAAAACACGTCCACGATTTGTTAAACAGGATCAGGTCGCAATAATGCGCATCGAATGCTACGGCATGATTTGCCTAGAACAATTTAAGCTGTTCCCACAAATGGGACGTTTTACGCTGCGAGATGAAAGTGAGTGACTAATTGATAAATCCCAAAGTTACATATCATTTATATATAAATACTTCTATTCGGTTTTAGATAAAACAATCGCTATTGGCAAGGTACTCAAGGTGATCGAATAAATTGAGCCAAGCTAAGTTTCGAACGCCCGCCTTTTTTCACTGCGGCTTTACAGCAAAACACCTTTTTATGTATGCCAGACGAATCGGATGAGATAAGATGAATTGAGATGAGATGCCAATGCCAACGCCTACGCCACGCTTTCTACAGTTTTAATTTCATACACAATTATTATGTAACCTAACAACAATAGCAATTGAGATAATGGTTAGAGCAAAGATTTATATAGCAAGTATCTAAAAGAAAACAAGGAGGAATAGTTTGGCACACGCAGTTATCAACACAGAGAGAGAGACACACAGAGGATGAGCAACGGAGCAACAGAAATGCATTATATGAATATATATTTATATATATTAATATAAACTATGTTATGTATAACTAAAAGAAACATGCAAATGTACTAATTATTTATATGTACAGTTATTTGTCGGATTTACGTTTGTTTCGACTTGGCAAAAAAGAAACTGAAAACTCAAGGAAATTGAGCAGCAGACATCGCTTTATTAACTTGTAAACTTTTAAGCAGACATTCATGAATTTTTTAAAACACAAACATAAGAAGAATGAATAACTAAAGAGCTGCAAGCTAAACAATTTTTATATTTATACAAACAGAAATATTAAGAAAAAATATAAGCATTAAATAGTTGCCAATTCCTCAGCTCCCACTTAAAAAGAAAAAAAAAATTTTTTTTTTCTATAGTTTTGAAATTATGTAAATGGCTTTTTTGTTATACTACGAAGTACACTTTATTAATTAATTTTTTCTCTTTAATACATATAAGTTTTTAAGCTCAAAATGAAACTGCAAAAAACCGAGAAATCATCCTTTTCATTACTTAACTATTTGTTAATTTTAAATGCTAAACTGTTGTTCAGAATATTCTTTCGATTTTAGCTTTTTTAAAATTTAGTTAATTGAAGGCAAGCGCAAAGCAAGAACCCCAAACACGAAAACGAAATAAAAAAAATGCCTTTTTGCTCCCAATATGCAAATAAATATTCAATTGTATTTTTATTTAGCTATATATGATCTATAATTTTGGATGTAATCAGGACCAAGAGAAGGTTTCAGCTCTCATCGATTATATATTTCTTCTTGAGTTTCCCCGATTCTTTTCATTTTTCTTTTTTACAGTTTTTTAAGCTTGCTTTATTTTTTTATGACATATTTCATTAAAGATTTGAATTGAAAAGTTGTTACCATATACTAATTAATTATATAACGAAACCATAACTTAGTTGAACGATCGCCCGTATTTGAGTTAATTCAATTATATATATATACATATATTTGAAACCTGCTTTTTAACGCTTACCGCGCTTTCTATTTAAACACATGGGCGAACAAATGAAATAAAAATGAAAATACGATTGTTAAAAATCTCTCCGACAGTTATACATGATAATATTTAAAATGTTTTTCAACAAAAAACAAAACTCGTAACTAAAAAATAAATGATTATATAAAGAAAACGAAAACAACTATGCAACTGATAAATAAATATATATAAAATTGTATGAAGTATAGATACAAAAAGATAAAAAAAAAAAAACAAAAACGAAATAATAGAAATTATATAGAAAAAACGGGAATATTTATACAACATTGAATGTATTATTATTATACATGTCTGTATACATATTTAAAGACAAACAAATAAGATCCGTATAAATTTGAACATTTTTTATCAATAAAAAGCAAAACGAGAAAAAATAAAAACAAAACAAAAACGAACCAACATTAAACGATTTATAAATTATGAAAAAAAAAAAAAAAAAAATGTATTTATAATGCTGTAAAAACTCTTTTAAATATTGTTGCGTACAATATTATTTTTAATATATTTAGGAGTTTATTCAAAGTTGTAATTTCAAATTATAGAGCTAATGCTTTTTTTTCTACCAATAATCAAAGAAAACTATCGATAGGCTGACTGAAAAGAACTGATAAATGCTTTTGAACTAGTTCAGTAGATTTAGATCAAGCAACGGTTATTGAGGTTTGCAGTTTTTGTCTTGATAAAAAAAGAAACAGCAAAGAAGTTCAACATTGCATTAAAAAATAGATCATAATTCTTTTTATATTTTTCACTGCTGGAGCGCATGGGTCTTTAATTCGCAACACATTATACATATATCATTTTATGGATGGCTTATTAAATTACAAGGTAACTAAAAATCGATTCGATTTATTTATTTTCATTGCTTGTTGGATTAATTAAAACATATAAATTCATTGCATTATTTATAAACAAATAACAGTATTAACAACATACAGTATTACAGAATTAATGCCTGTTTCTTCTGCATCTGCGAGATGTTTGTACAAATGGCTGTGAATATCGCACCAATAACTGGAGAATTGGAGTCTGTTCAACAATCGGCTTGCACCGACTTTTTGGCCAACAGCGGTGTAATGGGCTGATCGCGCCTGTTCGCCGGCTCCTGGCGCTTCGCCTCCTTATCGCCATACAGGTCAAGGTCGCGTCCATAGTACCAAACGAGCCAGTCAAACACGACGCCAATGAACGTGAAGACTACAAAAAGATGGAGAAGAAGGATAACCAACAGACCTTACGGCATTAATTTTACTTACAGCAGGACAAAAAGTTGATGGAATAACGGAATCTCGTTTGATCGTATAGCTGACAATTGCCTTTGCCATGACAGGTCTTCGTCCACACCAGGCAGGTGGAGTCGATGATGCGACCGAATATAATTGGACCCGGAATCAAGGCAAATAAGCTGATCATCATCAAGGCCAAGCCCTGGGCAAATGATTTGTCCTCGGGCGCAACGGTACGATAGTTGATCAGCACGTTGCCAATGCGACCGGAGCTGCCGAACCAGTTCACAATAATGGAAGTTATGGAAAATATCCAAAAGACCGTATCGCATCCTTTCATGCAGACGCCTGGACGCAGCACCAGATCAGCAACTGCTCGCTTGCTGCGCCTCAATACATTCTCCACAAGTTCCTCAGAATTATCATCGCTAAGCAGCGGCACGTCATCCCCATGTATATCCAGATCCGTGCTATCTATGAGCGTCATCTCCGTAGTGCCATCGCCCAGTACCAAACGCTCTGCGGCTTTGCCATACGGCTCCATAGGAACAGCCGAGAGTTTGTCTTTGATGCAGGCGCATGTATCGTACAGTTTGGTATCTGCATTCCAGCTGGTGCAGCCCGCATGGCAGGGCGAGAAGTAGGTGGTGTCGCTCGCTTCATGGCAGACTGGTGAAAAATTAACGCCCTCGCAGGAGCAGTTTGCATTGCAGTTGCTGGTCAAATTGAGGCTGTTAAAAGACGAAGATTATACATATACTATGTGCGAGTTTAAAGTTGTGTGGTCGGTGTGACGTCACAGGTGATGAAAATTTGTATTAGGTGGCAGCACTTCCTGCAACTAAGGTTAAATATTCTGATTGGCAGTACAGAATAAAAATTAATATAATGTGGTTGTGAAGTAGCGTCGTCGACGCGTCGTATGATATTTTTATTTTCGATTATGGATTTATATCGGTAATTTTATTTTATTAATTTATTAACTACTTCGGCCGTTGATTAATCGAATTTCTATGAAACAACACACGACGACATTGGCATATGATCGCGACCAGGTGGCAACTATTGTTAAGGCTGAGCTTAGAAAGTGGGCAGAATGGCAAATTAAAGTAAACAAACAAGATGGCGGAATGCGAAAGTGCGAAAATTGTGAGCAAATGTTGCAAATTAACACTAACTATGAAAATATAGTTAAAATAAATAAGTGCGGTAATAAAGATAATATGACTTACTTGTCAATATGAGTTGTTGAAAAGGAATCGGGGCAATACAAGAATGCATAAGAGATTTGACCTGAAAAAGCGCAATAGAGGAGAAATGGAATTGAAGAATGTAATTTACATATATATAACATACATATGTGTATATAACATATGTGTATATATAAATTCATTGCTTTCAACTAACCGCATATGTAAATAATGCCCACAACGACATTCCACATTAGAACCTTGCTAATTGATGGCTTCTTCTTGGATAAGACAAGGCCAGAGGCAAAGAGGCCAATGACCATGCCCAGAATGGACACAGGACCAACGACAATTGTGGCACTCTGTGCCGCTTTATGGAACACAACCTCCATATACTTTGTTAAGAAGGTCATGAAGCCCGTTGCACCCAGTATATAAAAGACGCCCGATGAGATGTTAAAGATGAGGAGCTTATTACGCAGTAGACGCATTAGAGCACGTGGAAAATCCTTCAGCTTGGGTAGATCAGCATTGGCGCCAGCTCCAATGTTATCTAAGGCGGCAATCGAGGACACGCGACTGCTCAAGGAAAATCCTTCCTCTCTCTTCAGCTCCTCGTGACGAAGGGCGTGGGGCAAATGTGAACTACGATTTGCCTCACTCGTTTTCTTTGGCAGCTGCTTGGGAAAGAGACCAATCAGACCGGAGAAGACGCACATCAAAGTGCCCAGGATAACCCAGCCAAGCCACCAGGCGCCCAGCCAGCGTGGATCCTTGCTGTCAATCAAAGGCGTCTTCCTAGGGTCAATGAAGGTGTTCAATGAAATGTATCCTAAAATTGTACAGAGATTAGTCAGCACTCTAACGATAATGGAACTATGTAAAGCTCACCAAAGAAGAAACCAAAGACGGGCCCAATCATGCGAAGCGACATGGCCACCGCCAACATTAATGGCGTATTCGTTCGCTTGGTATTATCGTCTAGGTACGTTTGACCCAGAGCATAGTACAGGGTATTACCCACGCCCAGTACAAACTGTGAGAAGAAGATGAGCACCAAGGGCACATACGTAAACAGACTATCGCAATTGTCAGCCGCCTTGCCTACGCCACAGAGCTGCTCTGGCTTGCTCTTCGAGGAGCTGGCATTCTATATAGAAGATATATTTTTATTGATAAAGATTAAGTCAATCCAGAGGTTTCGTCTTACCACAGCTGTATAGCTGACATTGAGCGAACTATTCAACAGACTATCCTGATATTCCTGTGTTAACTGCAATACTTCATCGCCAGCTCCATAGATAAAGTGCGGTAGTACCAAAATGAAACAGGATATGCCACAGAGCACAATGCCCCAGGCGATCCAGCGTGGACGATTGCGCTGGCCACCGATATAGGATAGGATCAGTGACAGCAATATCTGTGATATTTCATTGCCACTTAGCACAATGCCTGCGAGGAATGGCGCAGTTTGGGTAAGTAAGTGATAACCATATCATAATAGTAAGTTTTTAGCGTATTTGATTGATTGAGTGACTAATGATCTAAAGAAAATGCTTAGCGTTCTAAATTTTGAGCTTGAACTTTTTAAAATGGATTATTGGCCAGAAGTAGAGTCGGTTTGCTCTCTCATGCCTATAACATTTACTTTACTAAATCCATTATATTATAGGGTATACTTTCAAGAACGTAGTAGGAAATGCATTACTAAACTCCAAGTTAAATACTTGACTTGAAAACACTCAAGTTGTTTATATTTTGTGTTATACACAGTTATATTTTATGCGCTTATTTATATATATATATATTATTGATCGTTGTAAATAGCGGAAACATTCAAATTTTGAGTCACAATCATGTCCATCAATCAAAGTGTTATGCTCACCCGTCGTCTGGCTAGGTATTTTGAAGCGTTTTTCCAGTGTGGTCAACGTGACAATGAAATACATGTAGGACATGGCCTGAATGGTGCCCAGTAGACCATAGACGCCCATGAACGCTTTGGTTGTGGCGTATTTCTGCAGCCAGCTGGGATGCCATTTGCCCAATCCACACAAATAGTGTCCCGGGGGCAAATGTTGCTTCCTTAGCTCCGACATGGCTCCGGGTTCAAGTTTAAAGTGGTTGTAATTGATTGTCTGCTGTGTTCAATGGTCACTGCACATGAGCATGTCGTGCTGATAAGATTAATATGAATGCGAATTTATACCTCGGAACTGGAAAAATGTTTACATAGAATACCCAGAAGAAGAGAGAGAGAGAGTAAGAGTAAGAGATAAAGAGAGTTAGTGGGTGAAAATGATCGAAGAAAATATTAAGAGACAGTAGGGAGAGGAGAAGGATTTAAGAGGGGTAAAGAGCCTAAGAGAGAAATAAAAGCTTAGCTATAGACAAAGAAAGAGAAATATATAGATTACGTCGGGTTCATAGTACAAATCCTACTCAAATCAATATCATAAAAAACAATTTAAAATATTCTCCATTTTCTATTTATAAGTGTGTAGGTATTATACATATTTGTCACAACACATATTTGTTATGGATTGACCTTGTTTTGCTTAAAATACTTAATTAATCGTGACTCCATCTGAAATTCGGCTCATAAACTGCGAAATCGAATGATATAGGAATTCTAGGTACAACTATTGATTAGACTGGGCGTCTACCTATTCCTATTCAAGATCATATTATGCCCGCCACCGCTCTATTGATTAGATAAGCCCTACCATAATATTTGGTCAGTTTCCTTCTATCACGACCTATAAACGGATCTTTTAATTCTCTTCTTTTATGCTCTTAAAATATGCCAGGTAATGCTGAGAGAGCGAACTTGCATAGGAATTATGTAGCGCTAGTCGATAGTCGAAAAATGCCCTTCTGGGTTATACGAGACTCTAGAGTTATATAGAGTTTATTTTGGTCTGGTCTGGTTGGACATTATCTTATCGTTAGGTATTAACAAATCGTTGATTGCCTGCCTAGTCGATTGTATAATACCCTGTTAAAGTATATAAATAGCACAAATATTATGGTACGAATAGACTGATTTTTAATTGGTTATAGAGATGTATATTAATATCTTAAAGTTAACAATTTTAGATCTTATGATTTTTGGTTGTTTTTTGTTGTTTTTTTTTTTTTTTTTTTTCATTATTTTTCATTGTGGTTAGTTTGTTTTCATACACGAAATTATCAATTCTCGAAAGTTACTTTTCTCTTTTTCTTATCTCCCGCTGATTGGAAAATCTTAACAATAGAGTATGTAAACAATAATAATTCTTGGTATTGACTAAATTACTGAGTGTTAAGCTACCAACAACGAGCCCAAATTTGAAAAAAAGCAAATAAATTACTTTTTCATAAGATCTATTTATACTTTATCTATACACAAAAGAAAAGCATTGAATATAAATATAAAAAAAATTATTACGCACTATATAAGTTCGACCAAAGGATTTAAAAACAATAGTCGGCCCATAGAACGAGACATATTTAATCCATGTATAATCGAATTTGCAAATATTAATAAAAAACCCTTGACTCTATCCCTCTTCCTCGCACTAATTGTGTGTTAGACAAACAGACGAATGACAATTGCAGCCATAAATGCAACTAAACCTGCACAAATAGATATAGTTCCATATCAGATAATACCAGTCGTTCAAACAACAAATCAATTGAACACAAAGAGGTCGGTCGGTCGAGCTATCGGTCAGCGTTTATTTTTCGAAGAAACATTCGACATATGTACGTATGAACTCTGTTTTATGTGACGATGAGGAGAGGTGAAGAGTATTCAAGGCCTTCTTTAAATAAATTTATCAATTGTTTTTTATACAAAGATAATAGAGCTTCAAAATTTACTCTACTTTAGATTTATATTAGAAGGAAGTCTTTCATAAATTATTTTGCCTAATTAAGATATTGCTTTTTACTTCACGGCAATTAGAATAAAGGTTGATAGGGGTTAACAAGGGTTAATTATTAATTGAGTTCAAGAATATTTCGAAAGATATGAAAACAATTTTTACGATTTCTAGTTATATGGTTCATTTTTTGGATATTCATTGATTGAATAATACTAGGAGTAAGATATTAAAAATTTATTTATTTATTTATTTTTTTTTTTTTCAAAGAAGGGATCCAAAATACTGCTCAACTTTTTTTTATTAAATTAATTTTATAATCGGAATTTGCGTACAATTTTCTCAGCTTATAACAATAATTCAAAATATGTTAAATCAAACTAAAATGCAGGACATTTAACGAATATTGCACTATTTTTGACGGCTTCGTTAAGATTAGTCGCCAAGTATATTAAGAAAGGTAATGAATATTTCACATTTTGATTTATTCATTCTTCACTATATATTTACATTTTATCAGGAGACGTCTGAAATTATGATTAAACTTATCGGCACTCGAAATTATTATTAATTAATTATTATTCAGTTCAGTTAAGTTCCATAGAGAACGATTGTTGTAATCAGATGCGAGGATCGCGGATAGTTATCATTGCGGGAGAGAGAGACGGAGCGAATAAAGACGTTTAGAACCGTGCCGCCGCGTGTCGCGTATCAAACTGACGACTAGAAATACGAAATAATTGTGTTGGCCTGGCCCAACTACAGTCGCTGAAGGCGAAGCTCCGATAATTGTGGCTCGATAATGCGGATAATAAAATAACATTATCAGCAAATATATAGAGTGGACTGCGAATATATTATCAGACCCATTTTACGTTACCTTATGTTACGTTACTCATGCGCCACGTGAATTTCTAATCCATCTGAGCAGCTCGGCCATGATCTCTCACCCACTCTCTGTCTCTTTCAGTGTGAGACCTGCATGTGGACCATAACAATAATGCAATAATAAACAATAACAAATGCGACAATGACACTATTACTATTAATATAGTTTACAATCCACGCTTCAGCCCCTTGATCAGAGCAATCAAAGCAAGCCTGCCTGCCTGCCTGCCTGTCTTTATCTTAATCTATGTCTCTCTCCCTTTCGTCCCATTGTGATTGGATTTGTAAGTGAATTAGCATAGAGTATAGAATGTAGAATTCAGAATCTTCTCTACAAATGTGCGTCAATCAGGCGAGATATGCTACAACAGTTCAGTATCTTTCTAGGTAAAAAATTTTGTCCGTACTCTTTCATTCTTAAAAGAAATAATGAATTACAAAATATAAATCTTTGTATAGAACAATATTTGTAAAATTTATTTTTTATTGAAAAAATTACGAAAATAATATTTAGTTTATATTATTAAATTAATTAAAATATTTGGATTCATTCAATGAGACTTTACAAATGGATTCGGATCGTTGCCGTTCGGAAGTTGGTTATTTTGTCCCATATTGAAGAATATGGATATGCCGAAGACCAACATTACTAACAATATGGCGACAGTAAAGAGCGTCTGTGTGAGGGCAGGTGTTAGATATACCTCGCATAGCCAACAGGGCTTGGGTATATAGTCGGGATCCGTCGCCGTAACGTTATCTAAATTAATAAAATAAAATAAAAAATAAAAAGGAAATGCGTTAGATAATTTTAATTTAATAAATTTAATAAAAAATCAGAACAGAAATTTCGAACCTGTGTCACAAATCAAACTTACATATTCATCCAAATTACTATAACAAGAACCGCGAATCCATACATTTTTTTTTACAAATCATTAATCCAAGGTAGTGGAACATTTTAACGACTACACATATTTTTCTATCGATAAAATCTATTATTTTATATACTAAGGAGGCATATCGATAAAAATTGATTATCGGACATAATTTGTATATTTCAATTCCCTTAAACAACTAGTTACTTTATTTGCTTCTATTACTTTGCTTTACCGATAAATATATCGGATCGAGTTCAATGTGATTTGATAGGCTTCTGTGCGCGTATAATATTACTCTATGAACCCCTTATACTTTTCCCCAAAATAAAATATTCACAGAAATAGAAATACCAGGATATCCATTTGTTTACTTACCAGCTACAATAACATCCATGCTGAGTGATTGCAGGCTGACGCGACCCCCTTTCTTGGAATACGCGTTTAGGGATTGGCAACAGAAACTAAATTTGTTGCTATAGAACAGTAGGTCTCTGGGCATATGCGTTACATTGCGAAAAATTAAGGTGTATATGCGCCAATTACCAACAACAGGCAACAATATTAGCCGAAGATTTCCCGCTGTCGTGTTTATGAGAAGGGCGACGCCGTTTCTTATATTCTTTGGATCCCGCAGTACAATGTCAAACTTCACCTCCTCGGTCATACGAATGTACTGCCGTCTGTAGTAAACGGAAACGCCAGTGGAGTATTCCTCGGCATAGACAATCGTGCTCAAAGTAATGATGGCCTTCGGATGTCGAAAAACCATTACCGCTGTAGTCTGGTTCTCAGCACCCGCTATCGGTTCACTACGGCTGATGTTCGATGGCATTTGCGACTTGGTTTGCATTTGTGGCTTTGCAATCGGCTGCTCGGCTAGCGTGCTTTCCTTCGCTTGATCTGTTCTACGTATGCGTCGCTCGATCTCCTCTGTCGGCTCCCCATGTGCTGTGTAGATCTGGACAAGCTGGCAGGCCGTTAGGTTGGAGGCCACGGTCTCCATAAACTTATCTGTGGAGCACCAATAAATTTATATCATAAGCGAAAGTTGATTAGCTCAAGAGAATAACTAGCTCAGGAGCGGAACAATGAAATGAGCTATCTACTATTGAACTATTGAACTATTGAGCAGCAAGTCAACCCATTCGAGTGATTATTTGTTAATTTTTGATTACAATACGAATTTAGCTATAGTAAAATGGTAATTGAGTAGTACAATTGTAATTCAGTTCTATTGAACCAGTTCAGTTAGTTCTACTTACCGTGTTCGGTTAGATTTTGAGTCTGGAAATTGTAGGCATATATGTGACCCTTCTTGCAAGGCAGATGCAACATTTTGTCTCTTTCGCTCCAGACCAGTTCCTGATTGTGCTCGGCCAAGAGCGTTCCAAGCGCTGCCATTGGCTTGCGAATCTTGCTGTAGTACGTACGTGGCTCCTCTTTACGCAGATAGGCAAAGCAGTCAGGCTGCAGGCAGCTCAGATTCTTCGCGGTAAGCTTAAAGCGAGATACACAGAAAGAGAGAGAGAGAGAGAAAAGTAGGCTGCAAGTGAGATGGACTGTGAACTAATCCTTTGTGACCTACCAGCGGCGCAAAGTAGGCAATCAACATGTGATCCTTGAGCAACGGCCGCACACGAGCAGCGAATTTCTTCGACTTGATTGTGTGGAAGATGTTGCGTGGCTCCGTTCTGTATGAGGCAAGGATATTCCATATAAAATGTTTATATTGCAGCGTTGCCAGACTTACAATTTAGCGCCCCAGATCACGACGGGCGGAGTCGAAGGTAATAACTGAGCTCCAGCCTCCATGGCAGCCATCAAAAATATTACTTTTACAATTAGTATTGTTTTCATAATGAATTATTAAAAAAGCAAAAGAAGAGATTTTTACTATATTTCAATCTTAAATTCCTTTATTGGAAACTGATTCTGCTAATACAAAACTAGAGCAAAGCTTGCTTTGAGTCATTTTCGAAGTTACCTTGAGTACAACAAATAAAGCTTCGAATTTGTTGAAATAGGCCTGGACACATTTTGTAGCCTGCAACATATTAAGCTCAAATGTTGCCATCAATAGCAGTTCGAGTGTCCCGCAACATATTTGAGAAAATGTTGCCAGCAGCATGAGTATCACTTCGAATGTTGCTTGAATGCGCGACTGCTGCTTAGGGATATGTCGAATGTTGCCCAGATCAATTCGAGTGGCTGGCCACATGTTGCTAGTGCGTAAGCAATAAAGTTGGGTACCACCCGAATAGGAATTGAAATGTAATCAAGTGGCGATAAGATAAACCCGAATGCTTATCAGAGCTAACAGGGAGCAGGGGCAAGGTGTAGTATAGTTATGCCACCTGCATTTCGGTACTCTCACCTGCGCAGTTAGTCGCCCATTGACAATTGCTTCGAATAGTCGCGCGAATATGAAACGAATTAACTCCAAAGCTAAATAAAACAATTACATATAAAAACGAATCATTTGAATCATTCAATCATCGAATTTCGAATAGTGTAACTGAAAATGGTGCAGAATACGCGCAGCTCCGACTTATCGCAGATTGCCGTCAATGCCAACAATATACCCGATGGTGCGTGAATGATAAGGAATGAATATATAGCTATACGATATTATATACATACATGTGTTTCCTCTGCAGACAGCGTTGATTGCGGCATCAAGGGTCTGGGCTGGTGTCGCGGCCCCGCCTGCCAGAAATACGCCCGCCTGCGCACCTTCACCATTGTCCTGCTCTGCTCGGGGCTGCTGCAAGGCGCCTGCGAGCTCTACTTCCGTGTCTCGGCCAAGCAGGCGGCCTTCCAGTACGGCTACAATCCTCTGTTAGTCGGTGAGTAAGCCAAACTTATCAAGAAATACATACACATACATACACACATTTATATGTGTATGACAGTTGGCAAGAGTCAGCCGAAGCTGCTCGCTGTTGGCCTCAATGCGCGTTTGTTCGAACTTCGAATGTTGCTAAGCTTTTCCAGCCACCAAGTGCGAGCGAGAGGGCATGCAGAACAGAGAGCAAACTTATCAGTTTTTGCGATATTGTTTATGATTTTGGCTATGTGTATATGTGTGTGTGTGTGTGTGTGCGAGTGTGTGTCATCACAGATACAAGTGGCCAACAACTGGGCTAGATTTCATACCGTGTAATCACAACAATTGGACTATTTTTTACACAATTTATGGGACTACGATACAGCCCAGCGGGGCCAGTAAAAACCCATGGCTAGCTCCACTATTTATAGCTCGTGTTATTTACAAAAATATGTTTCAGCCAAGTTGACTTTAAACTACATTGCCTACATATAGATATTGCAATTTAATAATGGATTAGAGACATACATTTAAGTATTTGTCATCAGCAGCATTGCAAATATGTTGGCAATAACTGTGACGTCATCGGACCCTATAAAATTGTCCAAATTTTGTGAATATCAATTTCGTATGCTTCATTGATAAGAGACTGGTCAATAAGACATATTTAAATTATACGAAAAGGGGAGCATATTAAGGCTTTGACAACCAAAATAGACTTTTGTTTGATCCTAAAATTTTGGTAATCAAATTAAAAACTATTTTAAGAATTGAAAATACAGATCTTAGCTTTGGTCAGATTCAAAGTTTATACCAACTATTAGCTAAAAATCTAATTTAATCCGATGCCAATACGTTTCAGTTATAATTCTAAAGTTTCATTAGGTATTAATGTAACTGATTCATCCTAGACAAAGGGATATAAGGATTGATAATTATTCTACTCAAAGGTATATAAGTACACATTTGTATATTTCAATATCACGTTCTTTACTTGAGATATTTAGAGTTAGAGATTTAATATTGGAAATTTTAACTCATTTCTTGAATATTAAGAATAAAATCAAATTGTATTCAATAAAATACTGCAAAATAGAATAGAATAAGGATAAAATAAAATAAGTCTAGATATAAGATGTATGAATATATATATGTATATATATTTATAGTAGCTTACAGATCGACTCACTAGTTAAGGATTAGAGCTGAATGCGCTATTTTATTTATCTATAACTGAAAGCTCATTTATTTTATTTTAGAGTCTAGTTTATATTAAATAGTTCCATAAGAGAACTGCAAAATTGACTAAAAAGGCTGCTGGGATTGATCGAGCTGGTAATTAATTTTACTTAATTTGTATGCTGGTTCTATTTCCAAGTCTTTCATTATTATTTTTGTACCGTACTTAAGTTATATTACATCAAAATAATCTCTCTGCAGATTGGCTTCTGGTCAGCAGTGGGCTATTCCAGGCGGTGTTTGCCTTGGCCTTTGCCTACTGGGCGGACGTCTACCATCCGATCAAGTGGCTGGTGGGCACGCTGATGCTGCAGTCGGTGGCCTGTGTGATTACAGTGATACCCGCTATAATGAACTTGTGAGTAAATAGAATATCTGAATGTAGCTCTGGAGTTGATGCAAACCTATTTCTCTCTTCTCGCTGCTCAGTGCTAATGGCGTCAAGTCGGAGGATGCTCTGGTGGATGCGAATCTCTGCACCACCTCGCTGGCCCAGTTCCAGAGGCTGACGCTGACCGAGGTGCAGAGCAGCACCCTGACGCTGGCGATGCTGTTCGTGCTGCAGCTGGCCTTGGGCATGGGCTCGCTCGCTTTCTACACGGTGGGCGTCAGCTACATCGACGACAACTCGCTCTCGCAGGACAGTCCGGCGGTGATTGCGGTTGTGCTCGCTGCTCGACCCCTTGGCCAGCAGGTGGGCTCGTTCCTCGTGCTGGGCGTGGGCCTGACCCATGTGGGCTGGTGGCTGGGCTGGATTGTGCTCGCGCCGCTGATCTTTGTGGGCGCCGTGCTGCTGGGGCTCTTTCCCAAGCGCCTGCCCAAGACGGTGATCCATCAGGCGGCACAGCGCATCATTGAGCAGTCGAACATGAGGAGCTTTGGCAGCCAGTTCTCGACCTACCTCGACGACTCGGACTTCTGGCCATCGCTGAAGCGCTTGTTCAACAATCGCCTGCTCATGTTCAACCTGTTGAGCATCATGTTCCTGCAGAGCGGCGTCCTCAACTATGGCCTGCAGGAGGAGAGCTATCTGCAGAGCCGCTTCTTTCTGCCCTTCAACGAGCAGGACGGGCTCACGCAGGAGTGGCGGGCGGCCTTCGTCTCGTACTTCCTGCGGCCGCCCGTTATGGCTGTGGGCATGCTCATCGCCGGCCTGATCATATCGAAGGCGAAACTCTCGGCGCGCACCATCACGGGCATCAACATCTCCCTGGCGATCCATCTGGTCGTCATCTATGTGGCCTACGTCTTCATCAGCTGCGACGTGGGGGCCATTGCGGGCGTCGTGGGGGGCAAGCTCACGCAGCCGTATTGCGCCAGCCAGTGCCTCTGCACGCCCACCGCCTTCATGCCCGTCTGCCCGGAGAACAGCAGCATCACCTACTTCTCGCCCTGCTATGCGGGCTGCACCAAGCGCAGCACCATCAACAGCTTCGAGCTCTACGAGGGCTGCTCCTGCCTCGGCGATCAGTCGCTCAACTCGGGCGGCACTTCGCGTGCCACGCCCGGCGCCTGCAGCGCCAACAGCTGCGAGAAGACCATCATAATCTTCCAGATATTGAGCATATCCGCTGCCTTCCTGCTGGGCATGTCTATCATTGGCAAGACTCTGATCACACTGCGAGCTGTTCTGCCACAGGACAAGGCCTTGGCCTTGGCCTTTGAGGTGATGCTTGTGGGACTCTTCGCCTATGTGCCCGTGCATCTCAGCTACGATCTGGTCACACGTAAGTTCTGAGAGCGAATGGCAAGCTTTCCTTTGATATCCTCTATCCTCTTGACTGTTTGATTGACTGTGATTGATTTGGTATTACAGGCACCACCTGTGTCTATTGGGCGCCCAACTACGAGCGCTGTCTCCTGCGCGAGACGCCTAAGCACGGCAATATTCTGGACATACTGACCGCTTCCTTGATACTGGCCAGCGTGCTCTTCGACATTCTGGTTTACATCTTTGCGAAGGGCCTCAATCTCTACAACTGCAAGGTGACGGACAACAACTACACGCCCTCGCTATATGCGCCCGTGCCGCACGAGGATTCGGCTGCGGCCCGTGGAGGCAGTCCGACGATGACGACGACAACTGTGGCCTCTGGCTCGCCCATGCAACGTCGCGATGCTCCGCAGGAGGCAGTTGTCGAGCCACGTCGAATGGAAGCCAGTGTCTACAGGCAACCCAGCTCGTTGACCGATTCATCAGGCACCCAAAGCATTGTAGAGCCAAATGGTACAGGAGTGACCTATGCCCAGGTCATCTTTCCGCCGGACAAACGCAAGCGAGATGATGGCAACACGAGTCCCAAGCGTCTGGCTGTGCCTGCGAATGTGCCACTACATCATCTCTCCGAAGCGGATGTTCGCGCACAGCTGGGCACACTCAAGTCCTTCAATGCAGCCCAGCCAGCCGTTCAAAATACGGATGTGATTGAAGAGCAACCTTTGCCTGGCTACCAAGAAGCGGTTACTCCGGCTGCCAGGCCCCAGAGCCCAGAGACAGACTTCTAAACGGGACGATCAAATATTTTCCCTTTTTGATTTCTAGCAAATAGTATTTTATATGTATACTCTTCATGAGTTACTCGCGCTTTTATTTTGTTTTACCATTTACATTTAATTATTTATAGCATTAATCTATATATGTAATCTTTATATAAACATCCGCTATTTAATTTTATGGTTGACTGCTAAAAGCTGAGGTCCCAGTGATTTCAAAATGATTTGGTTTTCGAATAACGGCTAAAATTTAGAAAAGTTACAGTATATACACCCAAAGTATTCTATTTTCAGTTATGCCCAACGGTTTACAGCTGACCTGGTTAGGCCATACTATCCTAATCCCAAAGGATCAGGTCCTTGTACACTTTGCATTTCAACGGTCCACAAATATGTATGCCTTCTCTGTCAGCAGCCTTCTTTAAAGTTCTGCAGGGTTGTGCCAGCAACAGCTGCTACTTTACAGTAGCCATTTAACAGTCCGATCGGCTGTTATTGCTTAACAGCAGCCTTAATTGATTGCCGCTAGCGAGTATGCAACGACATTTTTGAATTTGGAGACGGTTGACCCTGGCGGATATGCAACATATTTTTTTTGCAGCTGTAACAGCTACCTTCTGCTCATTTATGTTCGCCTGGTATTTCTGCGGAATTTTAATTCGGGTTGTTTCGAAAGGTCAGCCCTCGCGGGTATGCAACGAAATCGTGAATTTGGAGACACTTGGCCCTGGAGGATATGCAATGAAAATTTTTGTAGCGTTGCCACAGTTCGTTTTATTATTACTTGTTGGTCCACTGTATAGCCCCAATTTGGCTCTACGGTGTGCAGATTTGGGGAATATGCGCAAAATCAAACTATTACTTGTTGGTCGTTTCTTTTGACCTGGCGTTTTGAAAAACTTTACGTTATATTTAACGAAATGGCTTTTATTTAGAATGCTTTCTAAAAGCTGTTCACACTTTTAAAACATTCCCAGCCAACATTCTTTCCCCCAATCAACTGAATTCCATTAAGTCCCACACCCAATAAAAAGATTTCTACTTAATTTTTTTCTTTGTATTTTTTGTTGTTTTATTATAATTGTATTTCCATTATTTTTATTTAAATATAGTTGGTATTTGCATTTGATTTACTTGTTTTAATCTTTTGTTTTTGTATTTATCACTTACAAACTAATTAATAAATTAATAGTTAGACTTAGAAATGAGGACTTAAGCGCGTAAAAATTAATCATGGGTAGCATAAAAATAAAAATTAGTTTAAAAACATAAAACATCCAGAAATAATAAAAAAAGGAAAATCAAAAAATACTTTTTCTATAGTGTGTGGATGGCTGATCTGCAAGCCGATATAGTGTACCATAACAGCTGATATATGTGCGAGTATGCAGCGCAACGTAAACGCCCAAGTTTTATCCTTCAGTTAGGGTATATATATATGCATATATATGTATATTTGTATAGCTTGGCTTGGTTTATTTTCTTTTGGAATAAAGCTGGCAGCCGACCTTAGACAAATCGAGTCTCCGCAGGTGGCCAGTGTTGCAAGTGTTGCAAAATGCCAGACAGATAAAACTTGTGGGTGTACGTTGCGCTATTTCCCTCTCTCTCTTTCTGCCTCTATCTTTCTGTAATTTTCTTTCTTCTCATTAGTTTTGATTGCTTTTGCAGTTTTTAGCTAATTTAATGCTCTTTTCTGTATGTGCGAGAGAGAGAGAGAGAGAGAGAGAGATAGAAATAGTGTATGTCTGTGTATGTGTGTGTTTGATTAACAGAAATCTTACAACAGATTTGATTTATACAAAAATTCGAAAATTAATATTAATTATTAAACTAAATATTTGCATAACAATTAAAATAGGACGACTTTTGCTTAATATTTAATACATTCTTTTTAAATCTTCTTTCATTGTTTTAGCTTTTCATTTCTGCTGAGTAGGGTGTATTTAATTTAGTAGGGCTGTTCACTTTTGAAGTGATTTTTTGTTGTTGCTTGAATTTTTGTGTTTTTTCTTTTTTGTTTTCTGCATTTGCATTTAGCTTTTAATGAGTTTTTTTTCGCTCTTTTCAAAAGTTGCACATATTTTATATATATTTAATATATTTACAATAAGAATAAAATTCTCCAAAGCCGCATTGAGTTAGTTAATTTATTATTTTTCTGGGCTTCCACTTTAGAGTTGGTT